TTTTTTTTTTCCTTTTTTTTTTTTTCAAACTTTTTTTTTTCTTTTTTTTTTTTTTTATTATTTTGTAATAGGTACACTTGTTGTCCTTTGACATTGTTATAATTTCTTTTTTTTTTCTCTTTTTTATATATTTTTCATTCATTTTTAATTGTTATCTTTTTCTTATTCTTCTTCTTTTTATCTTCTTCTTCTTCTTCTTCTTGTTTAATCATTTTGTAAATTAAACAAGTACGCATGCATACACGCACACACGCAAGCAAAAGTTGTACACATTCATACGCATAAAACACAGGACACGCACGCATACACTTCTGAAACATTCGGCATTCACACGTAATATTTTTATGTTTTTTTTATTTTTTTTTTTTTTATTTTTTTGGAAACGATCGACCGCGGGTTCGTAATACAGGGCGTTCTGCGTTTGGGGGTCAATGATTTTATAGCGAGCTGTCCCGCTGGCGTTTTCTTTTTAAATCTATGAAAAACTAAGAGAATGAATTTTATACCTTTCTTTATTTTATTTTATTTTATTATTTCACTTTTTTTTTTTTTGTTTTTATCTTTTATTATTTTCTTTCTTCTTTTACTTTTACTCTTCTTTTAGTTTCACCTAAGTAAGAATGTAGTAATGTGTATGTGTGTGTGGGGGGAGTATGTGGTGTGTTCGTTCGTTCGTTCGTTCGTATGATCGTTCATTCATTTATTTATTTTTTCACTCTCTCGTTCCTTGTTCATTTCATTTTTTGTTTTTATTATTGAATCCTATTCCTTTTTCGAGAACCCTTTTCATCGTCCATTTTATTTTTCAATTTATTTTCTTTTCCACTTTTATCCTCACACATAACGTTCGTCAATGCTTGTATTTTTCTTTTTTTCTTCCCCGTATGCGTACTCTAGTTTGATAATATTAACGTTGTCATATTTATTTGTTCTAATACTTGATCGCATAATTTTCTCTATTTTATTCGTTTTTAATTCGATAACATTTTCATATATATATACTTGTCCCTTTTTTTTTTTCTCTTCCTCTTCCTCTTTTTTTCTCATCGTATTTTCAAATAATACGTCATTTTCGTTCTCATTGATTCGTTCGTGGCATCATTATCGTAACTTTTTAAATTCTGTGACAATAATAACGTTATTCTTCAAGTTTAATGTATTCCATCATCATCATCATCATCATCATTATCATCATCATTATTATCATCATCATTATTATCATCATTATCATCAGAGAACATAGCGAAATTGATTTATTTTAGTAACTATACTTCTTCTCATTTCTTTGCAAAGTCATCGACTTATTAAATTCACAATACATTATTCTCTGGGTATTTTATTAATCCTCCTCCTCCTCCTCCTCCTCTTCCTCCTACTCCTTTTCTTCCGGTTCAGGTAATACAACGTTTTCTTAGAACGAAGATTTCGAATCTAATATGAAAACTACGCGATGCGAATTTGATTTCAATTGATAACTACATACTCGGGATTTAAAAGATTCAAAAAAACCGAACTTCATTTTATTTATATACTTAATAATGAATACTGCGAACGCGCTTTTATTTTTTTTTTTTTTTTTCTTAAACTCCCATATTTCTTTCAATTCTTTTCTAGATCTTCTTTTTCATACATCATTTTTATTTAAATATATATTTATGTATATGATTTTTTGTATTTTTCTTATTTACTTTATCATAGCTTGCATTCTTAATGTTAATTAATTTTCAGGGCGTGCCAATTTAAAGTGTACTGTTTTGTCCTCTCCGATATATATATATATATAAATTATTTATAAGTTATTTATTGATAAAGAAATAGATCATACGTAATACAAATATATATATATATATATGTATATGTATATATACGTACAGGCATATGTACATACAAATATATATGTATATCAATCGAAATACATGCATTTAATGTCTATTTCTTTATTATTTACTTATTTTTTTCTTGTTGACAACATCTTATATCCAATTTTTGGTTCCTCTTCTTTTAAAAGGGCGTGCTAATCGAACAATACTGGCTCTAATTTTCGTTTGGATAAAATAATAACTAAGAAAATACATTTCATCATCGATAGAATTCCGTTTCATCTTTCGCGTCGTACATTTTAATGTTTCTTCACGTTGTATCTTTTTTTTTTTTTACTTTTTTATGAATTTCGCGCGTTCGCATCTCACTTTAGGCCCTTTCTTCCGACCCTCCTTCCTCCCCCCTCTAATCATTTTTAATCATCTCTATTACCATTTGTTCTGCATTTGTTTGTTCAATTATTCTTTCTCTTCTTCTTCATTTTGTTCCTTTCATTTTAACTCTTGTGTGTTCATTATTATATAATAATTATTTTTCTTGATTATCTGATGACAGTACGGATGGAAACAGATCCAATTTGTAGCACGCCCCGTATAATTTACGATGTCTCTCTCTCTCTCTCTCTCTGTGTGTGTGTTCTTTTTATTTTATTTATTTATTTTTTTTTTTATCTTTTTTTTAAACGTGAGTGAATAATTTGATTAATTTTTAAAACTTGGGTGTATTTTTTTCTGCGTGGGTATGCGTCATCTCATTCTCTCTCTCTCTCTCTCTCTCACACGCATTCTCTCCCTCTCTCTCTCTCTCTCTCTCTCTCTCTCTCTCTCTCTCTCTCTCTCTCTCACTCCCTCTCGTACATTTCTCTTTCGCACTTTTTCTCGTTCTTGCTAATTTTTTTGCTCGCGCGCTCTGCGTGTGTGAAATTCTTTCCCCCCGTGTCCTCTCTAATAGTAAGTTTCTTGTTCTAGCCAGCCACCAGGATTTCGGCGTAGATAAAATCGTCTCGTCTCGTCGTAGATGAAGATGGCGAACATGAACGGCAGGGCTGGTAGCCACCAGACGAATCTAACGAGAACAAAATTTAAAACACGATCAATGTGTGTATATATGTGTGTGTGAGAGAGGGGTTAGTGCAATTTTATATAACATACATATATTTTAAGTCTAATCGTTTGTATTATAAAAATATTGGTAATATTGTCAATCTACGTATCAACGTTTAAGTATTAGAAACGGTAATCGAGAAAAAAAATCAAACACGAATTAACCACCACCCCTATATAACGTATAGCACGTAACAATTTATTTTAAAAGTAACAATTTTTTTATTCTATCATAATCGCGCGTATAAAAGTAGAACAATATCATTACTATTATTCTTACAATTTTGTATGATTTGTCAGTAATTTGAAAAAAAAAAAAAAACAAATCAAACACGCGATTTATATAATTGAATTTCAACTTTTTCCCCAATAACTTATTAAATATATTGTCAGTATTATTTTAATACTATAAATAGATTTATTGATATACTCACTTAAGCGGGAACATGCGAAGACCCTTGTCCATACCAGGTGTGTAGCTTAGGAACGCAGCTAGTGCAGTCTCAAAGATAAGACCAAAGTTCAACGCCCAGTTTCTCATTCCTTGATGAACGATCGAATTACGGCGCGTCTTACAAACTATAAGATCGGCCCATTGTACAATTACGATGGATACGAAGAAAGCCGTGTGGCAGGTGAATTCCAACGTCTTCCTGTCCCTGTAGGTCTGTTGTATTCACCCCAAAAAAAAACAAACAAAAAAACAAAACCATATTATAATATGTATTATAATAATTACTAAACACAAACTTTTCCATGTTAATACGTGAATCACGTGAGATGATATTCATTTTAAATTTTCTGTAAAAATTTTACCCGCTTGTATTGTTGTCTATGGGAATTTATGGGGATACATGATTCACGTGGTTCTGATGGAAAATCAGTGATTAGAAAGAAAATTGAAAAAGAAAAAAAAAAAAGAAAGGTTATAAAGTTTTACCCATTCCTGGCCGTAGCTGTCTCTGAGATCATTGATAGCCTTCGAGTCCCATTGTTTTCTGATACCAAATAGATAAAGCGGTAGGAAACCATTTTCAGCCATGATGACGAAGTAAACGAAGAAACCAGCAGCTGCTTGGATCATACCGATTTGTCCGTACGCCATCGAGATAAGCCTACATTTTTGTGGACAAAATTTTATATATCAGATAAAGATATGTATTATTTCATAATAATATTGTGATTCAATGATTATATATGGGGTCTGCTGTTCATATGCGTGAGAATTCGAAAAATCCTTTATCGGAATTTTGTTTATAATAAATTTATTCATATTTTTTTTTTTTTAGATATTATTATTTCTATCTAATATTTGTTTCATTTATTATCGAATAATGTGTGTTAATTTAAAAATGAATAATTAAATAAAGTAATTATTTCTCGTAATAAATAAAACAATATTTATAATTACAATTGTATTATAAGAGAATGAATGAAATATATAATATTAATTTATTATTAATTCTATTCACAGAGAGAAAAGGATTTTTTGAAATAATCACAAAGCTGTTCGTGTGTATGTTTTTTTTTTTTTTTTTTTTTTTCTTAACTGATATATGCCACTAAGAGAACGCCTAATTTTATTTACTCTCTAGCTATATGGTCTATCTATGGTGATTGATTATGGTTAGTATAATATACGTAATATATAAAAGCCGTAGTAATGTCCGTCGAAAACTAAATGCAGCTCACTTACCGATTCTTATGACGGAAGACAGTAAATGATCGGCTTTTCTTCTTACCGATACATCATCATCCATTATCATCATTATTCATCGTCATCGTTAAATATCATTTTGAAACATGCTATACGTAAATACACACTCACGTCCACGCATTTACACATAGTAGTAGTAGTAGTAGTAGTAGCAGTAGTAGTAGTAGCAGTAATAGTAGTAGTAGTAGTCATAGTAATTAATAGTAGTAGTAGTAGTAGTAGTGGTGGTGGACACATAAGCTCATGCAAAAAGCTCAAGCGAGCTTATGCCAATTCGTGAGACACATTTGCATATTGCACGTGCGAACAAAGCGTAAAAATTATCGTGCAGGTCGTTCGTTCATTATTATTATTTTTTTTTTATTATTATTTAATTAATTTTTTTTTTTTGAAATTATATATTTGTTCAGCCCTAGCTGAGCTAGGATATTTGATCAATGGAAAATCAAATTACGAGAGTGTGTGCTATAGAATAATAATATAGATTTAAATTCGTGATATTTACAAATATATATAAATATATCGAGTGTCAAATTTGGGAAAATCGTGAGATAGATAAGAAAGATTGTATAAGAATAATAAAAAGAGAAAAAAAAAAGAGAGGAAGAAAATTTAAAAAAAAAATTATATTGTTGACAATTATTAAATTAATAAAAAGAATTTGTGTTATCACGTAAGCGAGTCGTTTTCAGAATAAACAAGAATAATTCCATGAATATATACTATGGAGTATAGTTTTGAACAAAATTTGTATCGACGATGTGTCAAGTCAACGATCATCGAATAACAACTTTTTTTCGTAGACTCGTCAAAAATTATATTTTCATTATTTTTCTTCGAAATTCTGTTATACTTCTCGCATCGATTTATATTTTTCCATAGAATCATTTTTGTGTATTTTATTTATTATCAAATATTTCGAGAGATATTTCGATCGCAATTATGTTTCCAATTAATTCCAATTCATTATCGTTCAAAACTAATTAAATGTTTTTTTGTTTTATTTTTATTTTTTTTTTTTTTTTCTTTTTTTCAAATAATTGTTAGTAATACTACGATGTGTATTTTAGAGAGAAAAAAAACATTTGTTTCTATATTCGTTAATAAACCCCCTAATAATTTTCTAAATGCTGTTGCGAGGCCGTGCATCGTAAATTCATTTCCAAAAGCGGCTCGGTTTTTTGACTACTAATAATATATATATACTTTTTTTTGTTTCTTTCTAAAAATAAGTGACAAACGATTAACCCTTTGCACATATATTATAATAATAATAATTCGTAATAAAAACGAATTGAAATTATTTTTCTTTAGAAATGAAAAAAGAGAGAAAAATAACAACATTTGATTTCAATACAAAAGGGTTAAAAATCGTTGCTGATTGTGATTGATTATTGTCGTGCACGATTATTGTTCGTGGGTGGTAGAGTGGTGGTGCTTTATTTATAAAATGATCGATAGAAAAATTAAAAAAAAAAAAAAAAATAAATAAAAAAAAAACAATAACTCTTAAGAAAAAACACGTAGAGAATTATGAATCGCAAGCAATTATGCGAATGTTAAAACACTTTTCCCACAATGGGGAAAAAAAAATTAATTTTCAAATGTGTGTATTTTCAGCGACGCTTTCTAAAGTTCTATAAGAAGAAGAAGAAGAAAAAAAAAAACAAAAAGAAAAGAAACATATGTGTGTGATTAAAAAACGAAGCATTCGGCATTCCCAACATGTCATATTAAAAGTCCTAAGAGAAATGATTTGCTGTGCTATTATAACAACTAATGATCTTAGAGAAATATAGACAGAGAAATAAATAGATAGATGGATAGAAAAATAGATAGATAGATAGATAGATAAATAGATAGATTATATTGATTTGGAAATATATACATATATATATATGTATATTAAAAAAAAAAAAAAGAGAAAGAGAATGATCGAGAAAAGTTGCTATCGTTCGGAGCATCTACCGAAATTTCTTGTTTTTTTTTTTCTTTCTTTCAATAATTTATTTATTTAATTATTAATTCCAACGTTATTTATACGGATACGTAAGATATTTTTTGTTTTCGTTGACCACATTTATATAGATCTGAAATAAAATTAAAGAAATGAATTTTTGGATCGCAATTCTTTTTGTGTTTCATTCTGGAAATTAATTATATATATATTTTTTTTTTTATTGGATTTTTCTTCGTTGGAATTAATTATAAATGATTATCGGTAGACGCTCTTCGATGTTATCGTGTAAAAATTATGATTAATGATCGATGATTTAAACATTTATGTATTTATGTATATGTAAAGGTTAATCGTGAAAATTTAAGCGACCAAACGTGAATATCGAATTTTATTGAAATTCATTTTCATCCAGTTCTAATGAGATAATAATTAATTGATTTTCTTGCGAAAGAAATAAAAAAAAGGTATAGAAAATGCAAAAATGTATACGTAATTGTATATACGAGTATAAAAATAATTGAATTTCGTTTACGTTCGGTTTTCCGTTTTAATCGAATCGTAATGAAGATTTAATTAATTTTCTTATTAAGTGAAGATTATTTTTGTTTGAAGTGTTTTAATTATAATCAATCGTCGATGAACCACGACAAAACGATCGATTATTAATATATCGGGAAAGAAAAATTTTGATCAATGAAAAAATGAGATTATTTGTTAAGGTATATAATTTTTTTTTTTCCATTAATTTATAATTAAACACCTTTATAAATTATTTACGAATCATAATAAAAATTAAATAACAAAATTTCCAATGTAATTTTTACGTTTGGCCACCGATGATCAATCAAAAAAAAAAAAAAAGGATTTTCAAGTTTAAAAAAAGAAAAAAAAACAAAGAATGATTAAGTTGGCCTGATGAAAAATAATACGAGATGAATACATGAGACGTAAAAAAATGAAAAAGAAAAATAATAAAATGACGGAATGAGAAAGAGAGAGAAAAAGAGATTGTGAATGGGCTGCATTTGTTTCTTCTCTTTTCTTTTCTTTTTTTTTTCTTCCTTTTCGTTATTACAAAAATATCATATTTTTCCAAATAAAATAATTATCTTTTTTTTTCTTTGTGTTCTATTCTGTTGATTTTGTACTTTGTCTGATCGTACGTAAATCATTTCTATTTTTTTTTGTTTTTTTTTTTGTTTGGATGAGTGCATAGAGAAAATTTCTCTAGGTTTTCGTTCTATGGTGGGTAATTGGGAAACCCACCTTCGGTTGACTAGATTGTCTCTGTAAGGATCACGCGGCTGCCGTTTCATAATGTCCGACTCCGGTGCCTCGTAGGCTAGCGAGATGGCCGGCACCTGCCATCCACCAATCATTAGAAAAATTTATACCACTGACCCAAAGTGGTTTTTTTTAAAAAGAAGAATAAAATTTCAAAAAATAAATAAAAAAAAAATATATATATATATGTACATTTACGTATAAACAAAATTTAACTCTATATATAAATATATATATGTATGTATGCATCGATGTATGTATGTTACCATTAAAATATTAAATCCGTTAATTCATGAAGTAATCATCTAAATTATGAGTTAAAGTATGAAATTAAGACAATACTTTAATAACTCGTATCCCGTGAATTCGTATTTTATTTAATTATTCTTTTGAAACAATTGATTTTTATTATTTTTATATTATGTTTTTCCTAAAACGTTTAAGTTATTTTATACAAGATTTAAAATTTTTCATAAATTAATTGAATTATATTATTTTTTACACGGTAACACATACGTATATATATATACGTATATATATATATGTATATATATATATATATTTAATATAATATATAAATGTATATAATATGTCCTAAAAATATATCGTGAATATGTTTATTAACACATTGCAATATTGTTTTGCATTAAACTTTTCAGCACGTTTTAAAATTTGTGCGATTTTTATTTTATTTTTTTTTTTTTAAACCGGTGACGACGTATGCAATATGTTAATGTATATATATATATTATATACACATATGAAAATATATACACGTGTATATATATATATACAAATTAGTGCGAGCGAAAGAGATAGAAACAACAGGTATTGGAATAAAAATTGAACTTTTTCAAATGTTCGTGAACCAGGGGGAGGATTAAAAATATATGCCGACAACAAAATAATAAGCTTAATATTTTACAAATATATAATAAGCGAGCTTTATAATATTTTTCGGAGGAAATTTTTTGTATTATCGTTAATCAACCAACCAATCACCCTGATTAGAAAAAAGAAAATGGAAAAAAGGAAGCAAAAGTTCGTTTAACACGTCGAATGCCTTTTGTTTTGATAATATAATTTTTTTTTCTTTTTTCTATTTAACTAATTTGATTTTTTTTTTTTTTAATTGAAATTATTATTTCAACTTG